CCGCCCCGGCCCGGCCCCTGCCCGTACCGCGCTGCCCCGTCCTTCCTGCGCTGCCCGCATTACCCTGCCCCTCCTGCCCTGCCCCTACTGCCCCGCTGCCCCCGCTGCCCTGCCCCGGCTGCTGGCACGGCCCTGCCCGTACTGCCCCACCTGCGCTGCCCGGCACGGCCCTGCCCGTAACTGCCCCGCCTGCGCTGCCCGGCACATCCTGCCTGCCCCGCCCGTGCTGTTCCGTCCTGCCGCTCTGCTTACCCTCCTGCACTGCCCGTCCTGCCCATGCTGCCGCGCTTGCCCTCCTGTGTGGCCCGTACTGCCTGTGCCGCCCGTACTGCGCTGCCTGCCTTGCCCGTGCTGCCTTCCCCGCACTGCCCGTACCGCCTCTCCTGCCCCTGCCTGGACTGCCCTGCCCGCGTGGCACACACTGCCCCTGCCCGCCCAGCCCAGCCTGCTCCTGCCCAGCTCTGCCCTGCCCGGGGGCCACTGCCTGGCTCTCCCTATTGCTGCCTTGTCCTGCCCTTAACCACCCGCTGCTGCCTGCCCTGCCCTGCTCCTGTACGCACGTTTGCACACACACGTGCGCGTCCACGCACGCACACACCCCCCCACACCCCCGGCCCTGCGCACACAGGCGCATGAGGACGCTGAGGACGGAGCAACTGGGCCTGGGCTGGGGTCCCTGCCGGGACGCCGGGGGCGGGCGGGGGTGTGCAGGGGCCCCACCCAGAGCTGGGGAGGGGGGGGGGGAAAGGACATTTAGGGACATTCAGTGCCCTGGGAATCTGGGCAGCAGCGGCCTCATAGGCACAGCTGGCTTCTCCCTGTTCTGTGCAGTGGGGAAACTGAGGCACGGGGCAGCCTGTCCCCAGGTGCCGGCATGCCGCACCCCTGCTGAGCCGTAACTGCCAGCCTCCATATGAAGACTGGAGCCAGAGATGCTCTGGTGTGGGGTGACACCCCGAAGGGGAGATGCTCCTGGTGAAGGACACCGATGTGGCACCCAGCGGAGGCGGCTGGGGGGGGCACACGCAGGTCTGTCCCCAGCTGTTCCTGGAGACCCCCAGGGGTCGGGTCCCAGCACCTGCAGCTGCTTTGAAAAGCCACGGCCAAGCCACGTGTCCGCCCGGTGGCACAGACACATGACAGTGACACGGTGGGATCCACTGCAGCCTCTCGGGGCGCGGGGGGCCTGTCTGGCCAGGCAGCCCCACACAGTGCGTCACACTAGGGGAAGGAGGCAGCTGGATGAGGAATGGATGAAGAGCAGATCCACCAGAGAGCTGGGGACCTCTCCTGGCTGGTTTTGGCGGGGATAGAGTTAATTTTCTCCATAGTAGCCAGTATGGGGCCATGTTTCGGATTTGTGCTGGAAACAGCCTTCTTAACACAGGGATGTTTTCGTTACTGCTGAGCAGTGCTGACACAGAGCCAAGGCCTTTTCTGCTTCTCACACCACCCCACCAGTGAGCAGGCTGGGGGTGCACAAGAAGTTGGGAGGGGACTTTTTTTTGGGACACAGCCGGGACAGCTGACCCCGACTGGCCAAAGGGATGTCCCACACCATATGACGTCATGCTCAGCACATAAAGCTGGGGGGAGAAGGAGGAAGGGGGGGACGTTCGGCATGGTGGTGTTTGTCTTCCCAAGTAACCGTTACGCGTGATGGAGCCCTGCTTTCCTGGAGATGGCTGAACACCTGCCTGCCCGTGGGAAGCAGTGAATGAATTCCTTGCTTTGCTTTGCTTGTGTGCACAGCTTTTGCTTTACCTATTAAACTGTTCTTAACCCACGAGTTTTCTCACTTTTACCCTTCCGATTCTCTCCCCCATCCCACCGGGGGGGAGGACGTGAGCAGCTGTGTGGTGCTTGGTTGCCAGCTGGGGTTAAACGACGACACCCGATGGGCTGCTTGAGGTCTCGTGGGTGTGATGGCCGGCTGCTCTCTCTCCAGCCCGGGGAAGGAAAGCTCTGCCGCTGTGTGCTGCAGCACACAGGAGAGCTGCCGCAGTCAGCTGAGGGTAACTTTCAAACAGCAAAACAAAACAAAAACCACTTTGCAGCTTTGATGAGAAGGTGTTAAACGCGCCACCGCTCACCCCCCCCCCCGCCACGAGGGAGGATTGCACAGGCTGTTTGAGGATCCGGCTCTCCGCTAAGAGGGTGTTTTTAACAGTAAACAAACACAAACACATTGCTTGTTGCAATGTCAGCAGCAGTCTGATCAGACACTCGAGCATCTTTCCTTGGCATTTATCGCTGATCTGCTAATCAGTCAAGAAAAGCAGTCTCCTCCTTAGATGTGAGGGAGTAGCAGCCGGGAACAGCACACAAAGATAAATCAGCTTAACTCTGCCCCGTCCCCAGGTTCCACCGGCGCTGGCACAGCCAAGAGGTCTGGGCATTTCCCCGAGCACCTCATCAGCTCCAGGGACAATGGCAGGGCAGAGTGTGACGAGACCACCAGGAGAAGGGAAGGGGAGGAGGACGAGGCGCGTAAACCTGGCACTGTCCTGGCTTGTGCCGGGCGCTCGGCCCGTGAGAAAGCTCGCAGTGATGCAAGGCAAGCGCCCGAGCGCTGTGGAAGCAGGTGAAGTCTTAGCTGTGAAGGCGTCGGGTTGCACGGGCAACGCACCGTCTCCCTCCCGCTCCCCCGATTTAGGTAAAATCCCTTCTCTAAATGCTGGTACTGTTTCCCCTTGACTTGACAAAGCAGAGCATCAGGTCCAGCAGGAGCTCGCCACCACGGGGAGTGACCTGGAAGAGTGGGCAGGACAGGCAGCGCTCGGATATGGCGGGGGGCCTGTGCGGGGGGGAGCAGAGTCTGTCACAGGGAACAGCGCTTTCTTCCTGCCCAGCGTTTACTCACCAGAGCTGCTCCAGAAGGGAAACTACTGCACAAGAAAGGATGCTCCGTCCTGTGCCTCACTCAGCCAAGTTTGGGCTGAGTATTCTTGAGACTGCCGTTCTACTCAGTTTAAAAGAACAAAAAAAAAATTAGCAAAAAGCTTCCCAGAAAAAAACCCAACCTTGACCTTTCTGGGATATCAAAGGTGAACAGCGAAGGCAGGAGGAAAACCTCCCCCCTTGCATCAGGGTCCACTTACAGTCATGAGAGGGAAAAACTCGGAGCAGCACGTCCCCTCTCCCTCAAGGAGAGCTGAAAGAGCAAAGTTTCAGCTGGCAGCTGCAGCCCCACCAGCAACGCTTACAGGGTGACCTCCAGTGGGATGAGGAAGACATGACAAATTTCACGTTACATGAAGAGGAAACTTTATTTTAAATCCATCGCTGTGCATTATAAAGGAGCAGAAAGGGGCAAGAACAGGGTCCTTTGGAGCTTACCGTTACCACCACCCCAGGGCACTCGCGCAGGATTTCAGGCTGGTTACGACACGAGTCGACTCCTGACACTTTGGCAGCGAGAGGTGTAACTGTCAGCTCCACCGAGGTGAAAGGAGCACAGAAAGGCTGCGACGTACGCACAATCGCAGACGGAGTTGCATCCCTGCAGTCCTACATTCAAACCGCCCGACGGGCTCAGCAGATGGACTTTCAGGCACAGAAGAAGCCGCCGACGCAGCCCCATGCCCCGCTGTCCGCTCACATGAGCTCCGGCGACGCAGGCAGCAGCTGGGGGAATCCGTGTCGGGTCCCATCTCCCCTCTGTACCACAGCAAGAGCCACTTCCACCTGCCACACGAGCAGGCGCCTGGCATGCACGCTTGCTGCCTGGGCTGCTGCGCCGCCCCGGGCAGCTGAAACCCCGCTCAGTGAGCAGCCATTCGCCGGGGCTCACTGACAAGACACCAACAGTCCTTGCTCACGCAGAGCTGACTCCCGTCTTCCCTGAACCGCACGCTAAGGAGTACAGCCTGGCAGCCTTTGACAAAGGAACTTGTCAAAACACAGTCTCAGACAGCTACAATCACATCCATTTTGAAACAGTTAACTTCTCCTGCCCTCCCCTAACAACTCTGCAAGCCCCCCGTGTTCAGCAGCAGCTTTCCAGCTACAACAGCTGGCTTGTTTCTGTAACTCCCCCAAACTACACCCAAACACGGCGTCGGCACCTCAGGACTTGGCGCAGGACTCCCCAGGCCCTCCTCCAGCGGACCGAGGGTGCTTTCCCGTGCTGCCAGCTCCCCTGCCTCCACCCTGCTTCCTCTTCATTTGGCCCTGTGACTCCGCTTTAAGCGTCTTGATCCAGAAGGCATCAAAAGAACCTGGAGCCTGGTATCCCGGCTCCTGAGGATCGAGGGCGTCTTTGCTGAGTAGGACACATATGGCAGGAATGTTTCTCTTCACTGTCAAGGCATCGAGGCCTGCCTCAGGCACAATGGGTTCCCAGATCTCTTCGATCTGTTTAAAGAGCACTTTGGTGATCTGGTGCAGCTCTTTGAGCCTTCGTTTCATGATTTCCACACAGGTAATGGTCTTGCTGACGGCCTTGCCTGAGCCAGTGAAAAGGATCTGCCTCACCGAGTCCAGCTCCATCTTGCCGATGGCATAGCCCATCAGATTTCTGATTTTGCTCCCGTCCTTCACTTTCATTTCAATAATATCAGGGGGCAAGTCAGTGAAAGGAGGAGGACAAGGTTTCTCCACAATTTTGGTCTTCTTATAGTTCTCCATTCTGCAGTGCTGAAAAGGAAAACGGATCCATTAACACAAACTTCCACTGTAACTGCTGCGCAAAGAAACTCTTGCCAAAATTAGCTACAACCTTTCCTCTAAAGGGCACTCTGAGCTATCAGAGTTGGGAATCCTGAAAAGGCGTATCCAAAAGATCAGCAAGAATGCCCTACTCATGCTGAGGAGTCACTTGTACCCAGTCTTCCTCAGCACGTACCTACAGCACGAACACTGCCACGGGGCAGCCTGGGCCCCGACAGGCAGGCAGTGAAAGGAACAGGGTTGGTGTTGTGGGCCTAAGGAGGATGAAGTAAAAAATACAGGCTGCATCTCAGGGAAAAACAGAGAACAAATGGGTGAGCCGAGTTACTGGGGACAGAAGACAGGTCAGAAGCAGCTGACCACTGCGGCACCCCGTGAGACACCCCCAGAACGTGCACAGCTCACCTGCAGCAGCTCGGGTATGTTACAGAAACAGGCTCATGGGGCTCTAAGCCCCACGACAGCCAGCCTAGGTGAAAGGCCAGGGACTGGATACTTGATAAAACAGTGCAGGTCACAGGGGAGATGGCAAGCCAGGGGTTGCAGGCAGGAGACATAGGGCCAGCAAGAAGCAGGACAACAGAAAGGCACATGATGAACAAAAAAACGGTTCTCTGAGGAAAGTGAAAGACAGAAAGATCCAGTCTCGTAGCTCCCCTCTCTGCCAAGGCAGGGTCCCTCTACCGGCATCTGGACCGAGGCCTGCTTAATCTTTGTAGGGCACCCCCCCTCCCCACCACAGAAAGCCCAAGGTGGCCAAGCATGCAGCGCTAAGGCTTTGTTATCTGTAGGCTCGTGAGCCCCGTTTCACCCAGAGCCAGCACCTTGTACCCCATCCCCAGTGGAGAGAGGGCAGATCAACGCCCCCTCTCTGCCCCTAGGAAGCACGCGCCCTCCACGAAGCCCTCACCCCCAGCACGGCAGCGGGCCGCCATCGGTGGCTGGGGGCCCGGCACGCACCCCGCGCTGCTGGGAAAGAGCAGCGCCAGGCCCTGCGATAAGGGGCTGGGGACCCCGCGGATACGGGCGTCAGAGGATGGCAGGAAAGGTCGAACTCTCTGCCGTACCGGTTAGGAAGGCCAAGCCGCTGCTGGGGCTGCGACCCCGGGGCGGGTGAGTGGGTTCGGCAAAGCTACTGCTATTGGGAAGGG